GTGTTGTGATTTTTTGGGCCAGATCTTGCAAACTCTCTTCCAGTGCTCCGGGGACTTGTAGTGGGAGAGGTTAAGCATGCGAGAGCAGCTGGATGGGGTTGTGGGTGTCACTGTGCTTCTTCCTGACAGCTTCTGGAGTCGGTTTGCTGTTCCTCAGGATGCTCAGCACCTCTGTGAAGCTCTTGGGAAGTTGCTGGTGGGGGAGGAATGGTGCTGGTGGTGCAGATGGGAGCTGTCCCCACACCTGACAAAACCTGTTCTCTGCCACCTCCACGAGTGTCTGTCCCAGGAGCTTTGGGCTGGGGAGGTGACAGCTTCTCCAGACAGGGAGGAAGGGGCTGCAGGGGTGTTTGGGCAGCACTGGAGCCATCAGAGCAAACAGTGAGCAATTCCCACGCAGGATCTCACTTGGATAGTGGGCAGTGTTAAGGAAGCTTTAACCAGAGCCTACAGTTTTAGGTCTTTTTCCTCCTTTTTCTCTCTCTCTTTTTTTTTTCCTCTCCTTTTTTTCTTTTCCCCCCCTGGCCTTGGCTTGTCCTTTATTTGAAGGCTGCCAAAGTGAGGGAGCTGAGCCTGGGGAATGTGTGGGAGCTGAAGGAGAGAGTCCTTCACACTGACGCCTTTTGTGTTGCAGGGTGTAAATAGCTGAGCCTGTCACTGAAACGCAAATGCCTATTTTTTCCACTGATCTGAGCCACATTTCTTTCTTCCCCCCCCAGTAAACAAGCACACTGCATGTTTTAAAGGCTGCTTCCTTCCGACATCTTGGTGTGGCTTGGGCACTTGGGTTCAATCCTCCCATAAGCTGTGGTGCTTATTGATTCAAGAGCTAAATCCAGGTGCACCTGCCCCAGCAGGAACGTCCCCTCTCTCACTTCTCTGCATGATGACTCCAAGCACAACTTCACTGCACCTTATTATTAGCTTATTTGATGAAATAAAGTGTTTCACTTAGAGCAAGCAGAGAAAAAAGGGAGGCCAACCACTAATGGCAGCCAGAGATGGAGGTTTGAGTGTCTCCAGTTTCCTCCATGGGATGCATCCCACATGCCCCCAGCAGTAAGTCACAACAGCTTCTCAGCCGCTGTAAATCATAGCAGGGTTGGCAAGGTCAAGTCCAGACAGCATTGCTGCCCTCAGTTCCTACCCTGCACCACCTGCTGCTCCTGTGGAGGCTCAGATGGTTGTGTCAGGGGGTAAAGTACAGGCAGGTTCTCCCGATGGGTTCATCTGACTCATGTTACAGTCTGCCACCCTGTCGCCCATATCTGAGCTCACAGGGCTTAAAACACACTGGGAGGTACATGCTCTAAAACCAGTCCCTCTCCCCACGAGCTCCAGCAGCAGCCAGGGCACAGGGTCCCATTGTGGGCATCCACCTTGCAGATGCCAGGTTTGGGGCAGGTGAACGCTGTGCTGGCACAGCACTCAGAGCCTCTCATTCTATGTCCCCCCCTCTGCTAGCTAGAAAAAAATTGGATTGGAAAGGACCTCTGGAAGTCACCTAATCCAAAGCCATGCCCAAAGCAGGGCATGCCTCGCTTCTGCACGTCTCCGTGCTGCCTGCCTGGAGCAGAGAGTTTGATTACCCTCGACTGGGATTTCCACCCCCTTTCCATCTAGTCGAAGTTTCCCCTGCTCCAGCCTGGGACTGCAGCTTCTCACTGATGCCGGGCACATCCGTGTTGAGAGAGACCGGGGAGGGGGGGCTGGGGGTGGGTGTTACTTTTCCCTGCAGGAAAACTCAAAGCACCTTCTCCCTGAAAGCCGCGGGGAAGGGGCACGTCCCTCGGATCCCTCCCACCGGCTCCCCCGGCGCGAATCCCACCCTTCTGCAGGGACACGCAAGGATTGGGGGCCAGACAAGAGGCTGGAAGGAAGGAAGAGGAAGAAGCACAATGCC